ATGGGAAAACCCTGTTCCCCACTTCTTTTCTCCCCATCTCTGATGCTTCCCCTCACCTGCTTTATCACACCACCACACACACATAGGATCTTGGGAAGGAGATGGCCTATGCCCCAATTTTGATAAAAACCTTAGTATGTAATGAAAGTAATTTCACCCTGGAATTATTAAAGTTTTTCTCATTCTGATTTCTCATTGATGGGACAGGTGTTGTGAATGAAACTGTGCCCAGCTTGAAAGAGCTTCTGTGTGTAGCTGAATGAGTGCATTGATGAGTGAAATAAACCTTCTGCCTCCATTTATCTTTTTACTACAGTGTGTTGAATTCATGTTAATGTGTATTTAAAGACATTTCAATTAGTGGAAAAAATTTCAGGGGGGAATATTAACCAAAACTTTCGCGACCCCCATGCAGTACCTCTGTGGACCTCCTAGGGGTCAAGGTGTCATGATCGGTTTAACGAATCTGACCCATATGCAGACTAACCACTCAGGGAGTGCAGAAAAGTTTTATTGTTTTATTTATTTTATTATTACAGGTTTATTGAGGGGGATAAAACAGGAGTTGGATCTGGAACTCAGTGAGCTGGTAACCCGGAAGTTAGAGGGGGGCCTTGTTAGTCCATGAATCCAGTCTGTGTGGTAAATCCAGAGAATAGTGCACAAGTTGGAGGGCAGACAGGCTGAGAAGCGTTGGACCCGGAGGAGTAATTGATTGGACTGTGACTCGGATTTCCGATGGGACTTGAACGAAACATGTGGAGGTTTTCCCCTGTTCAGTGTAACTCATTTTTTCCTTCCAGGTGAAGGTCCAGGAAACCAGTAACACAGGAAAGCTTTCTGCCGAAGAGCAAAGACAAAAACAATTTAAGACTCAGAGAAACAAAGCTAGGTTAGACTCAGCTAAACTAAGCTGGGCTAGAGTAAAATGGTAAATGGTAAATGGCATGTACTTATATAGCGCCTTTATTCAAGTTAGGAGACTTGACCAAAGCGCTTTACACTACATTCATTCACCCATTCACGCACACACTCACACACTGATGGTGGCAAGCTACATTGTAGCCACAGCTGCCCAATACTGGCAAAAACNATTTTTGGATTCCTGTCTCTGTTACCTGTGATAACTTTGTTAAAACTACAAGAACTCACCTCTGCCTCCCTGCCTCTGCATTTGTGTCCTCAAAACCTCAACCAAACCCTGACAGGAACAACCATTCCTCACAGCAAAAGGGGGGAGGGACTAAATTTCAATAAGCCTGCAAAAACAGCAGTCAGTTAATCAGCAATCATCCACACAATGAAATGAACACATGGAATCAGTCCAGGGGTGGAAAGTAACGAATGACATTTACTCACATTACTGTAATTGAGTACGTTATATGAGTAATTTGTAATTTTCTGAGTAGTTTTTGAAATATTTAATTTTTACTTGTACTCGAGTAAATTTTGACCTAAGTAGTTTCATTCGCTACATTTAAAATCCCCTCACGTTACTGAGTAAAAAATAAAAAATATAATGTTGGTGAATAAAATTAAATGTGGCTGGAAATTTAAACCCCTGTGTCACAGAACCAAAACTTAATGCGTGGCCCTGCCTTAGAATTACCCTTTGTATTGTCTCATAATCCAGTACTGCGCTTTGAGAGATGGCAGTTGCTAATCACAACGTAGAGAGTATGGATGAAGAAAGGCCCGAAGAGGAAACACATTCTGGAGACGAAAGCCAGGAAAACCCTTGGCCATATTTGGATGGATTATTTGTTTTCAAATGCACAAAAGGGAACAATGTGATAATGCAGTGCAACATGTGCCTGCCTAGCAAAACGGTGCTTTCGGCTTTTAAAACATCAACATCCAATTCACGAAAACATGTGGCGGTAAGTTAGCGCATGTGTTTTTGTCTCCGGCATCCCAAACGGTTTATTTTATTATTTATGTATAAGCGAGCTCTTGGCTTGTTAGCAGTTGCTTAGAATTAGCTAGTTCAGAGTATCAAAAGTATAATTGAGTTGGGAATGCAAGCATTACAGGTATAGATGTTTTCTTAATGTGGCCATAAATGAAATAGAATGTTATGATGGTTTCAGCATGGACCTGAAGTTCCTCCTTCTCGCACTCATCTGGTTCCTTCCCCCATTTCTCTCTGGTGTTCTGTGAACTTCAGGTTCAGCATGGACCTGCTGAACTCCTTCCTAAACATTAAGAAGCTGTCTCTGAACTCAACACAGGCCTTCCAGCCTCAGCTGCCTGTTAGAGGCTTTTTAGTTCAGCCGGGTTGCTCTTCACAGCAAAGAGAGCAAATCTTACAGCAAAAAACTTTGAAAATCAGTTACTGCTGAAGCAAGAGCTTTACCGGTCTAAAGTTGTAGATTTGGGGCAGTTTTGTGGGTTCCTGTGGACCCTGTATTATGAATCTCTGACAAATTAGCACATTACAGACATCTGCTTTGCCTTCACCCTCTGGATTATCCTGCCTACATTTGTCTGCTTGGTCCTAATCTGTCTGTCCTCCGACCGCCCATCAGCATCTGGGACCCTCTGTGTGGCGACCGCTGTGCCCCGTTGTCATCTGGCCGGCTGGAATCAACCTCACCCTCTGGGATTGGACTGAACTATAAGACCAGGTTAGTTACTCACATGTTTGTTATCATTTTTTTCCAGATAGGCGTGGTCACT